TTAGCTTGTTGGATCTCTAAATTGTTAAGGCTATTCTTTTCCCTAGTTTTCAGAGAAATGGAAATAMGTTCCTGACATTCTTAGAAGTTTCTTTCCCATCCTTTCTTGGTATTTAGTTAATTTTCTAAATAAAAYGGAAGAAGAAAGGCCACACTGAAAACTAAATTAGCAAGAGCAGTTTGGAGAGAAAATGACTTTCAATTTGCTCTTTCTTCCAAAGCAGATTGCCTGCCCTAAATGATTCATTCCACACTTTCAGGCCTCCAAGCTTTCTGGTTGCCTTAAGWGCAAGGACAGCATGAAATAGTTGAAACAACAGGAAGGAAAAACTTGACATTGTAGGAAACGGTACCTGATGGAAACAGGTAAATCAGTAGGAAATGGTAAAGCTGCTTATACAGAAGGGACAGTGTAAAATGAACCAGCAGATATTCTAAAAGGTGTAGCTATAAAAACAAGATACAGGCTCAGCTGCAAAAGGCTGTGGTCTCCTAAACACACATGGATGGTGGAATTGCAGAGTATGGGTGCATTTCTTAGATCTGGGCAGAACAATGACATCTAAGGAATAAAGGTGTCTGCTGCATTCAGAGGACAGCTTGACAGAATGCTTTTATTATCAGGACTGCTTAAAAGTACAGAAGAAGGAAAAGAGTTCATAATACAGGAACGCATAAAGATGAAACAGGGGTAAGGAAATTCTGTTTATTACTGCACAGACTGAAGGAAAAAATGGACTTCCTGGGAAGCCTGCTTCTCTGTCTGAAGCACAGAGAAGTCCTCTGAKATCGAAAGCAGTGGATGGCAGAGATTTTAGTATGACATTCTCAGAGTCTATCATAATGCCTGCAAAATGAAACACACAGACATACAAGTGAGGAACTTGTTTGGAAGATCTGGCATGAGGATGTGGTGGTGGCTACCCAATCATTGGGAAACAACTTGGCACGTGGTCGGTACAAAGAGTGACTTTGGCATGYTTCCCCATCACACCCAACAGCAGAGTTACAACAAGATGRACCAGCACTGCTGCAGAGGGCCCASAGCTGYGCARTAAGTTTAGTACTAGAAGTTCCTGGCTTCCCAAAATACTGCAGAGTGGTGATATGCTTGTGGCACTTGGAATGCCATATTCTCTCCCCTCTCTGGACTCACATCAGTGGCCATACTTTATTTCCTTAGCAGACTGGATTCACCAGAGTTGGGTTATTTTGCTTTTTATTGGTTGCTGGAAGTCAYTGTCCCCTACCTCYCCCAGCTTTGAAGAGAAGTATATCTTTATTAGTCACCTGGCACTGGAGTGTGAACTCAAAATCTTTACCCTGTACCCTTTGCAAACAACCAAAAAGAARGCTGGAGAGCCCTGTTCTAATTTTTAATCTCTCACTTTTTTTAACCATCTGATCATCAATTCAGGATTGAAARGGATGTCCTGTGTTGGGACTATGGAACCAAAGACTGCAGGAACTCAGTCCCATAATGTATTTTACAGACCCATCAAGTTCATCTCAAAATCAGAGTAGTTTTCTGGGAAATGAAAACAGTTCAACAGGTTACAGACATGATTCATTTACCAAGTAGAGCTTAGTACCACCTGAAGAGACAGAAGACATGTTCAGACATCTAATGAAGGAAGGACCTGATTTCTTTTCTGCAGAATCTTAATACTGTTTAACAAACGTTTCCAGATGACTACTTAGTGTCATCTTTGGCTATAAAGACTTCAAAATACTCAGCCCAATAGGGTGTAACAACAGGAGGGAAAATAAATAAAAAAAGAGAAAAGGTGCCAACTGCATGACACACAGAGGAAATGCAGAACTTCACTTAAATGAGGTTAGTAACAATTTGTTTTGTCAAGTTTTTTTCCACTCTATATTCAAGGCTATGAAGACTCTCTTATAATAATTCATAGAATAAAAAATCAAACATCCACACACTGCACCACACCCTATCATTGTGTTAGTATGGAATACCAACTATATCTCAGTTCATTAAACTATTTCTTTGAAGACTTTTTGAGGTGCTACATGCTCACTGTGTTCATTACTGTTGCGTCTCAGGTGGATTAAGGAGAACAAACAAGATGCACAGAGCTTTGGCATTTGGTGTTTTCTTAACAGGTGTGGCAAGAGCTCTTTTATCAATGAGAAATGGTGCAAGAACCAAATACAATGCAATACTGCTGGAGCAATAAATTTGTTTKATTGCTCTTTTTTTCCTTTCAGTCAAACGGCATCACATTTTAATAGAGTATCCAGGCACTATTAATTATCTTACTTAYTGTGCACCAACTAACCTTTTCTGCTTACCCAGGAAAAAAAAAACACAAGCCATAGCTGTCCACTGTCATGGATAATTTAAGTAGAACTTTAAATGCAAAACTAAGCAGTACTTCCTGAAGCCACTTACAAGGAAGTGTAAAAACAAAATACAATCAGGCATCTTGTTRGTCTCCTCTCTCTGCAGCCAGATTTTGAACTCAGTACTTGTTAAAATATGTAGATGTCAGTGAAGTCTGAAAAAGCCTCTTCCAAGGGCTAGGTATAAAATTTGTACTAGCTACAAGCTTTGGTATTTTAGATTTTTTTTTTTTTGCCTTCTAAAATAAAACTATTGTAGCAGCCTTTTGTAATTCTTTCTCTCTAACAAACTAATAAGAATAAGAAACTCCTACCAGGTAACAGAGTYTGAATACCTTTTGGTATTTTAAACTGAACAAAAACTACCAGTACCTGGTTTATGTTGTTTTCCTCAAATTTAAAGAGGTGAAGTCATAGTTCTTCTCTTGGAAGAGGGRTGAGGATGGCTATACATGACATTATTTGCCTAAGATATTAGAAACGTGTGAAATAGAAAACTACATTTGCAAACACTTTTTGTAGAAGCACTTTATCTCTACTTCCTAAAAGGAAAACCTCCCAAGAGGAGCCTTACTTTTCTGTCTACATTTTCAAGTACAGGATTCTGCTTAAAGCAGTGCAAAATTAACAAAAACACCCCCAACTTAATGAGTTTCTCTGCTCTCTAGATTAAAGTTCTCAACACAAGAAATATGCTAAGGGACAAAAATGTTCTTCTAGACCACTCTTCACTTTATAACAGTGGGAAAAGAAACTTGAGAGACAGCATAACCCTTTGTGATAATCAACTCCCCTATTACTCACTCAGAATGCTCAGCTATTGTATTTGCACAGTGACAGGGTCAAACCCCACCTTCAGAGCTGATTTATAGCACTCTTAGCCACAAAGCTGTTCACTCCCTWACTAACCTTGCTCAACCACCCTGTCTTTTTAACTTTCCGGGGCAACAAAGGAAAGCAAAAGCTTTCTTTCATGGCTTTAACCTGCTCAGGTACTTGCTGCAGTTACTGTCACCTTTCTTGAGTCACAGATTCTAGGGAATAGCAGCTGTGTGGCTGTCATCTCCACCCCCTTCATGGTTTTGCAGATCTTGACCAAATCCTCTCTCAGCTATTGCCTTTCCTCAGAAGAGTTCCACGTTCTCTCTTCATAAGAGAGCTGCTTGATCCCCTTAAACACTTTAAGTGCTCCTTCTCTAAGCCTTCTCTAACCACAGAATGTCCCCTACAACAAGGTATGAGGTAGGATTTATGGTTTAAACATTTTTCTAGATTCAAATTTCTGACCCCATGGTCAACAAAACTCCTCAGAAAGCTACAGTACTGCCAGAGAAGGAGTAAATAAGAGACGAGATCTCTCTTAAATTGTCCATAAAAGATTCCTTCTTCCTTTGTTAAAATTGTTGCCCCAGGAAATAAAACAGGCTGCGTCAGGCTGCACTGAAAGAAGAACTGCAGGTGCATCACAGATTTCTCATCAAGGAGAAAAATTTTTTGCTGCTACCCAAATATACATCAGTTAACAAGAGATTATCATTTCACACTTATGGAGCCATAAAGCATAGGATGATCACTCTGCAGTTATTTCCTGTTGGGCACCACCACTTATAGCTGCAATACACAATTATGGGAGTCACCCATACAGGTAGAATTAATCTGTGTGTTAATGTCATTTCTGTGAGATAATAAGGCCAACAGTTGCCTACAGCAAAGGCAGATCCGTTAGTACATTTTCTTGTTTTTATGGGGATTTGTGAGCAAATTCTGAAGATGTGGCAAGCACATCTACAAGCACTGGGTGTCTGGTAACACTGCAGTTAAATTGGGGACTATACATTTCAGATTATTAATTCCTTCTGGCATATTGRAAAGGCAAAAGAACAACAAACCCTATGTAAATAAATTAGTTTGGCTACTTATGACTGTRTATCAATTAGGAAGCAAAAGCAGCTGACACTTTCTTGGAATTTGAGTCACAAGGAAGGCAGTAAAAACAGATGTATGTGCATGTATAGACAAAACAATCAAGGCTAAGGAAGAAACATTTACTGAAGTGTATGTGAATCATCATGATCCAAAAATCTRCTGGAGCAATTCCTTCCTCTTTGGTCAGCAGACCTGTGCAAATCAGTAGAAGAGCACAAGGGGCATCATCTTCACTGTAAATCCTACACACTGTTGTTCGATTAACCAGATTTGCAAAATCACAAATCTGGAATTAACAGTGTAGTATTTCTTGACTCTTATGAACATGATAAAAACTCTGCCAGGAAGAAAACACAACAGGGAACAGTTGCCTTCATCCAACAGAATGAAGTTCTAACATAATTCTGCTGGATGAAGGCATTCTACAACCTCAGAGAAACATGTTGCATCAAGAGGCATTTCTTGTTCCTCAACCAGTAAAAATAATTTCAATGACATCATTGTCCAACTTAAAAGCAAATTACTTAAATTCCTCWCTTCAAAAATAATATGAGGTGTCTCTTTGGACAACAATAGAAAGTTCTTCAAAACCACTTCTGAAGTGTTTACTAGCTCCGTGAAACTGTAACAAAGATTAAGAATGCTTCATATTTATGGCATTTTAAATTTTGTTATTCTTTTATTTGAATCTGTGTCACRATTTCAAATTGCAAGACTTCAAAATTTTGGCAACACAAAATTACTTTGTAAGGCTCTGGAATTTACTGGAGAACAAAAAATCCCTGATTCAGTATTTGTCTGTATACCTTAWACACCTTAGAATTATAACAATAGCTTAGCTAATAATGAATACCTTATATTTACTTTGAAAGAAATACAAAATTGTTAAATGCAAAATTATACACATATCCGGAGTTTGAAATAAAATCAATTTTGTAATTGCATGTTATCATAACAGGAAAAGACAGGACAATATGATGTATATATACCTARAGTTGAAGTATTTGCACCAAGGAAAGATGTCATTACAATAAATGTAGGATGTTAAGAGAAAGTCATTAACTACTGAACACGTTAATTTTCAATAAAACCTTCTGACTTATTCTCATCTGCTCAAGATAGGAAACTGGGAAGGCAGAACAATGACAAAATCAAGCAAGTCTGACATGCTGACAGGAAAKGTAGAGTTCATGGGGAATAGTACAAAAGCTTTTAGAAGTAACTTTCATCCCTGAGTTAGTACTAAATAGCACACAGTAATTAAAGTACTACCACCACTGTGAGACATTTTCAGTACAACATTCCATGAAGAAACCTTTAGTTTTTAAGATCTTGTAAACAATGGTAATAGAATTCCCCAGGTAACTGCACTGATTCCACTTTTCACAGTGAGAACAGCTTTCTTAAAACAGCTMCCCAAGAAACCAAAGCAATACTGATAAATGTGCAGGTGATCCCAACACAACCCAGGGCGGGCTGAAAAAAACCTGCACCTGCTTCAAATCAAGACTTATGTCCATGATTATGCTTTAGGAATGGTTCTGTTGGGTTTGGATTTACTAGATAGGCTGCCACTAGAACACAAAGATCATTTGGATATGCAGAGGAACTGGTACCTAATATAAATTGAAATTAATTTTGCCTACAAATAATGAAACTTTTCAATACAATAGTGTGAATATAGTTGATTTTGTTACATTTAACTTTGGAACTTCATTTTTAGAGCTCAATACTTACCTTAAGGCAAGAGTCACTACTAGCTTGTAGGATTTCAGTATCACCCATGAAAACTTAACACATGATTTAATGTTAACTGGACATCAAATGGGTTTGAGAAACTTTAATGATTTGTTATATATGGGAGAAACAGATGAGCTCTTAAAAAGCACTATAATGAATAAAGAAAAAAATTATTTCCCAATAAATGGGATTAATTTGAATGAAAGTAAAATTCCATTTTCTTTTGCAAGCTGTTTTGACTAGAATGAAGATCAATTTAAAGCTGACRTTCATTTTTCTTATCATGCCATTTCATTAACCTATCATTCCAATTTCATTAACTTTTTTGTTTTGTCTGGTGAAACTTAAACCTTCACTTTTATTAATGGAGTGACTCGATTTGTCAAATCAAAAAGACAATCTGACACTTCTTTGACCTTTAAAGCTCATTGCTAAATCTCCAGTGAACGTGTAAGATAAGAGGAACAGGAAAAGTTTGGATTTTTGAGTGTGTGAGAGGTGAGAGGCAAATCTTGTTCTTTCAAAGAGCTTTATTGTCTGTCGCCTATGACATGACAGTTTTATTATATTTTGATATATTATTATGAGATAATAAGCGAGTAACAGAAAAAAAACAAACCCAAATCCACATCTACCCAAACCACGCACACACACAAAACCAACTCGACACTTATCGTTTGTATTTAAAGTCTGTCAGGGGAGAGAGGACGGGATTATTGCACTGTTTAGTTGGCACTTAACCAGCCAAGCAGTTGGAAGAGGCTTGGAGTAACCTGGTCTAAGGTAACGTGTCCCTGCCCGTGGCACGGGGTTGGACCCGAAAAGCAGCCGCGCCGGGGCTGATTGGCGTTGGCGGCCCCGGTCCCTCCCGCCAGAGGCGGGCACAGGGGACCTGCCCTGTGCCGGGAGCTGCCCGCCGTCGCGGCAGCGGGGCAGTGCATGGGGCGGGAGGGCAGCCGAGCCTTTCCCCGGAGCCGGGGACGAGCGGCAGCGCCGGTGCATGCGGTGGGGCGGAGCGGGGGCAGCCCGGAGTGATGCGAAGTTGAGGGAGGACGGAGCGAGGGAGCCTCCTCTGCTCGCAGGGCAGCCCAGCCCCGCAGCAGGTGCAGCAGAGCCCGGGCGGAGGCACCGGCGGGCCCGGCGCTCCCGGCGCCGCAGCAGCGCCGCAGCCCGGGCCGGGCGGACCCGGCTGAAGGACAAGAGCCCCGAGCGGAGCTGCGGTCGTCGGCTCCTTACCAGAGGCAGCGACGCGGAGGAGCGGCCCTGAAGGGAGAGCGGTGAGGGCCCATGGCGGTCCCGGCTATGGCGCGGGGCAGAGGGTCCGGGAGGGAGGTGGAGGGGGCTTTCGTTCCACCTCGCTGCTTGTTCCAGTCTGTCGTCTCCCGCTTCCCTCCCGTAACGCAGGGGAGCCAGCGGTGGAGGCTCTGGTGGAGGGAGAGCCATGGAAGAGGGGGGTGAGAATCGGGGGGTTGAGGGGAAGAGCCGTAGCAGTCGGGGTGAGACTCAGGGAACTGAGGGGAAGAGTCATGGAAGTGGGGATGATAACCGGGGGTCTGAGGGGAAAAACCGTGTCGTGGAGTGAGAGCCGAGAGAAGGAGCCGCAGGGGAGCCGCGTCGATGCGGTGTCTCCGAGCGAGGGGACGGTGTGACCTGAGGAGGGAGCTGGGGGGTGTGAGGGAGCGCCATGTCCTGAGGGGCGCCAGAAGGACACGTCCCTTCCCGCCCTTTTCGTGAGGGGCGCTCGAGCGGGGAGAGAAGAGGGGCCCGGGGGCGGCGCGCACGGTACCTGTGCGGCGCGGCAGGCGGGCACTCATCRGGCGGGCTCTGGCTTGACCGTCCTTCGGCGCCGCAGCGGTGAGTGCGGGGAAGCCCGGCAGGTGCCGGCRCCGCTCCTTGAGGAAGTTTGAGCGCCCTGAGGGAAGAGGGAGCGGGAAGGCTGAGGGGGCGCCCACCCGCGGGGTCCCTCAGCGGCTCCGCAGCCCTGAGGGGAGGGGCGCGCGCGGTGCTTGGCGCGCGCGGGGCGCTGAGGGCGGGAGCGGGGGGGACGCGGGAAGCGCCGCTTTTCGGACACCGAATCCTGGCTGGTGCCAGCGGGTCCCCATTAACTGCTTGATGTCGCCTTGAGGGGCTGTCGCCGACAGCCGGCCCGCGGTGGTGTCGGCGGGGGCAGCACCGCGGTGTGTGGGCGCAGAGCCCCCCATGTTGCGTTGCCGGCCGGCTGCCGGCTTGGAGAGGCGGTGTGAGGGACATCATAGACCTGGGATGACTCCCAGAGCGCCTGGGATGCATTGCCCTCCCTGGAWATTCCCCGAGTTTCCATCCTAGCCACCTCTGAAGGAACAGCGTTGCGTAATTGCTGCTGCGCCTCCCGGTTGGGCTCAAAAAGGAGGAAAACGGTCAAGCGTGAACTTTTCAGGCGGCGCATCGGTGAAGTTGCGGTGTTGAGGCGGAGATCAGGTGGCATCTTGTCTCCTATTGTCTCGTTTGAGCCCTGGCCGTGGAACAAAAGGGAATCATTGGGAATTGCGCAGCCCATTTTGCATGCTCATCCGAGTTCCCTGGGGGTGGCCAGCAAGGAGTAACTCCGGTAGTAGGCATCCTTGAAGGTCTCCTCCCCGAAAGCAAACACCTTGAAACGAACTTTTTTTTTTTTATGTTATGACCAACTGCCTTAGTTTTGGGAATAATTCACATGATATCACTTATTTCTAGACTTCTGTAACAAACATTTTCTCATTTAACGTTTCCAATCTGAAGCTGCCTGCCTGATTTTCCAAGCAATTACCACACAAGGTCACTTAGGTATTTTAGCTGAGCTAGTTTTAAAGCACCGACACTATATAGTGTGCAATTAACCTTTGCTTCACGTTTCCTTCTTTTTGTTTGTTTCAGCCATTGATCCAGGCCGAGCACTGGATACTGCAGTGGCTTTTCTTTTCCAAAAGAACCTGTTTGCGCTGGAGTCTGGTGCTTCGAGACAGATTTCACGCTGTTGTGAAAATATTTCAGTTGAAATACAAGGAAATGAGTCTGGCATTTTTTTTGCACATTTCCTGTTAACAGAAGCTCTTTATAGAGCACAAGCAATATTTGTTTTGTGATGTGTCTGTTAAATATCGAGACTCTGAGGTGAGAATCATGTCACTGTTTTGTAAACAGTAGARTTTATTTTCTTAGGGTACTTCTAAACACTTGGGTTGTTCTAAAGGAGGATTTGGGTGGAGAAACCCATGGGATTAACCAGGGCTGGAGGAGAGGACATCTGAAATGATCTTGCATCGTTTTTCTGGGCAGGGTGATGTCACCTGAGCTCTGAGTCCTTTCCTTGCGAGTGTGAGTGGAAGTGACTCTGAGTAGGTGGCGATGGAGCAGTGACGATTTGGTGGATTGGGTTGGTGGCAGTCTCAGCTTGGTCAGTGTCTGCTAGCTGTTGTGCTTTGCCRCCAGAGCTTTTTGTGTGGCCTTCTCTGTACCTGTTGACATTTGCACAGAGGATATGATTYGCTGGAATGCTCTTCCTACTACTTCAAAAATGTTCTGCAATTAATGATATTTTTAAATTTAACATCATCTGTCCTGATTATTTTCTAATTGACTTTCTTGAGCATGAACTACATTGGTCCTGACTTAAATTGCCGAGGGTTTATTTTTATTGCTCGTGCCTGCTTTTCTTTCTGTTTTCCACTTCSGGCTCTTTAAAGTGCTTTTTGTCCACATCACTGTTTTAGCCAGTTTGATCCCTTTAGAAAAGTGCAGGAATTTACTTTGGTTTATTCCTTACTGGTGAAGTCCTTTTCTTTTACTTCCAAGACAAGTCCCACTGCAGTATTAAAGCCTATTGGGTTGGTGGTGAGATCAAATTCATGAGATGCTTAGCAAATGAAATACCTTTTTTTCAGATCTRGACTTTCAACAAATATTTTTATTTCTGTTTGATTATTACAAAGTCATATTTGTGAAGAGAACAGAACTGTGTTTGAGAAATGCTGTTACATGAGAAGCATTTGACATCATTCATCTCCTTTGTCRGTATTCTAGTCCTCAGAAAAATTTCAGCATGGATTGACCTCTTATTGTTGTTTTAGAAAGTATCTTTGGGCTGAAAGCTGACATTCTGATACAGCTCCAAGTGTTTGTGAATAGRTATTGTAGAGGGCTCTTCTCCCTGTTTTCCAGGAAGCAAAAYACACTAGAACCATTTAATAGAATTCTCTGTCCTTCCCCTAGGAYAGCTATGCTTGGAGGCAACTTGCAAGCCTTGTGACATAAGATTTCTTGAACCTTTTGATGAAATACTTTTGATGTTTTATGACACATGTGTGTATGTATGCTAAAATTCTCAGGGTGTGATATTCCATGTTAGAAATAACCATTTAAATGGTTTGTTGCCAAAACTGTGGTTATAAACTGGTTTGTTATGACCATTTCTCTTAATCAGCACAGTTGTCATGCCCATAATTTTATTTGTATAGGGAAACAAGCATAGCTTTCTTCTTTGCTCCATGCTGTTCTTTCCTCTTATGAATGGATGGTTCAGCTTCACAAAAAAATAAGCAACTTAAGACTATTTTCCCTTCTTACTCAGTAACTGAAGGGAGAGTTAATGGGAAGTCTTGAGTCAGATTCTGAGCTGAGCTGGAAAAGAGCCTTGATGCCCTGCAGAAACAGCCTGCTTTAAAAAAATTTAGAAATTAAAACTGTGTTTCAGTGTGTTTAGATGGAGGTTACAGTGTGAATGTAATAGYTGGAGGACCTTGCAGGTTTCTTAATTCAAGACTATAGTCCATTAGAGAAATTATTTTCACCACCAGTCTGGAAAAAGTTATTTATTTGTTATACCTGAAGATGGAGTGCATAGGTGTAACAAAACCTTCAAACATTACATTTAGATATCCAGGATTTTAGATAAAAATGCAGTTATATATGTTGAATTTTTGGAACGTGTTTGCAATTCTTTTCAAAATGTGTGTTTCATGAACTGGTGTTCTTGGCAGTAAAGCACCCCATTCGTTTGGCTTTAGTCAAATAACTTCAAATTGGATGGGGGCTGTGGTGATCCGTATGGTGCTTGGTCCTTAGGCACAAAACTTTACCATAAGTGATCGAGCTTCAAATGCTTGTGTGACATTTTGTCCTCCCTCATTTTGCTTCTCAGCAGTGCAAAGTGGAAAATTCCATGTGTATTTCAGTAACATGTCTGGATAGGCCACTCTAGTGCTTGGGGCATCCATGACTTGTGGGGCTAAAAGTTAATGGAAGTTTTGGTGTAAATCTTGTGAGGACTTGTGAGGAAACTTGCCCAAGGACAGTTGACGACTATCTGATTTTTTTTTTCAAGTTGAGAATGTTGAAAAACAGATCAGAGTGTGTAAAACACAGTAGTAAAGCTGTCATGTTTCTTTAATCACTCAAGGATAAACATTAATTACTGCGCTTTGTGACACTTTGGCAATTATTGTGCTTGTTCATCAATTAGCTTTATTTTCATGAAAGTACACTTGAAGATTGGAGTATTACAAATCATTTTATCTCAGACTATACTCTTAYTAGACAATCAGTCTTGCCTTAGACTGATTAGTAATGTAATAACTGAACTACAGCTATMGGCTATAAAGTTGTTTCTGTTTTAAGCTGCCATCAGGTATTTGTTACTATATAGTGTTCATGGTCAAAAWRTTTTAGTTGATTTCCAGAAGTGGRGGCACCTGCAAAGTGCCATTTTGGTGGGTAGATCCATGTGTAGAACCACTTGGTGTGTGTCTGGATGGTTTATTGTTTGTTTGTTTTGGTTTAATRTCCAGATAATTCTGGGAATCGTAGTCATGGAGATGGGAACCATCTTTGTCTTGACCCCCTGTAACCTTTGGATTTATTTTCTCATTTCCCTAATATTCGTGAATTAACAGACTGTACTTAAGTCTCAGGCTGTCTGACAATTTACAAACCGAGTCTTTAGACCATTCCTTTCTGGAATTATGCTCCATCTCAGTCAACTGCCAGTGCTAGAAATCTGCAGGAAGCTTATGTGTATTTAGAAGTTTTTATACAGCTACAACAACAAAAAAAAAAAAAATAAAAGAGCCCCAACCCTTACCAGGGCATATTTTGCACCTTTTAGAAGATTCTCGAGTTGATTTCTGTCCTCTCTGGCTCTGGTAAGTGATATGTAGGGTCTTTCTTTTAAAATCAGAATCTCAGGATTAGACTACATAGGCAAGCTGTTACACTATTTTTATCCTTATTTTAGGCTCAAATTCTGATAGGAGATAGCTCAAAACAGGCACTCCAAAATACAACTCTGAAAGCAATAGACAACAATTTAAYTCAAACAACACTGACCTGTAAATTTAAAAACAGAAGCTATTAATTAACAAATTGAATAAGCTGGATGTTTTTGGCATGTGTGGAGTTGCTGCAATTATTTTAATTGAGCTGAATAAGAGTGAAACATGATGAAACCAAGTATTTTTACTCTATCCCAAGTTATATTTCCCACTGCAGAAACAAACCTAGTGATAGTTTCCTTTGTGATTGTGTTTGTGTGGCCTGTTAAAATGTGCTTATTTGCTATAGGATGAAGTCAGAAACGGAACAAAGAAATTCATTGAGTGCTTCTGGGTGTCATGTGATGGYGTGACCGGGAGAGCTTGTACCAAGCTGAAGCCAGCTGGAGTGAAAAGSAAAGCATCCCCCCAATAATTATTGAAGTTAAAAGAAAATCCCAGTAAAATGGGTTTAAGTTTAAAACTAATGTTGTTTCAGGTCCTGAGGCTTTCTCATGAGGCAGAATTCATGCTTGGGTGATGGTAGCACATAACGACAGGCACCAACAAATTAAGCTCACAGCCAAATGCTCTGCAATTTCTTCCAGCCCCTTCTTCAGAGGGTCATTGTATCAAAGGAGATTGAGTCACTAATTAAAGTATTGTAAATCAGTCAGGTTTTTCCTTTTTT